GGCTGCCAGTTAAATACCGTATTCAATTTAAAATACTACTTTTCACTTACAAAATTATTAATAATTTGGCGCCGAGCTACCTCAATGAGCTTCTTAGGTTACACACTCCTGTCAGAGCACTTAGATCTGCTACCCAACTTTTTCTGGAGCAACCTCGTTCTCGGCTGAAGTCTCGCAGCGACCGTGCGTTTGCTGTAGCTGCCCCAGTCTTATGGAACAATCTTCCTGTTGCTATCCGGGCGTCTGACTCTATGCCACTGTTTAAAATCACGGATGAAGACTTATTTAATCTTGCTTTTCCACCTAGTTAACATTTGGTGTGTGTTGGTACATTTTTATCTGTTATGCGTGTTGACTACTTTTATGTATTATGATTGTCAAGGTTTTATAATTGATACGTGCCAGGTCCTCCCCCCCCCCTTTTTCCTATTTTATTTTTTTGTCAAGAACCTTGGTATACCCTTGGTCTTTTAGTGTGCTTCATAAAGTTTATTATTATTATTATTATTATTAATTTCCTTATCTTGTGCAGAAAAATGCGCCAACATTGCGTTATATCGAGCACTAGCAGCCCAGTTAAATTGTGACTATCACCAGGTAACGTGGGCGTGTTTCTTGAATTAGCAGCAGGTGTTAAACAGCTGACAGGTGAGGAGGAGGATCCATGCAGGTAAATTGAGGGTGAACTCGGTACATTCTGCATGCTGACTGTTAGCGGAGCTAGTGATGTCTCTGAAAATATCTGAGCACTTTTGCAAACATGTTCTATGTTGACAACCTGACCAGACATGTTAAGATTACGCCACAACATTCGAGGCTGGAACATTATTAAAAGTGTAGTTGGTGAAAAAAAAAAAAAAAAAAAAAAAAAAAAAAAAAAAAAAAACGGGGTATTTTAAAACTTATTTTAAAACACCACCACCAATGCTGCCTGTGACTTGAAATGCATTCTGGGATAACTGGCTGATCCAAGTCAACACAAGCAATCGATTATCTATTATTATCTTGACTTACTTTGCACAGCAATCAATCAAATTTTAGAGAAGCTGCAGGGGCAGCATTGACCCCGCCCCCTTAGTTTGATTACTTAGCTTAACCCTGCCCCCTTAGTTTGATTGGTGAGGCTGACAGAGAAAATGATTTCAAGATGAGACATGAAGGGGACAATAGTGCCAAAATGTATTAAATAAATACATCATTAAATAATTAATTAAAACTTTAAATAATTATATAAATATGTGTAAATAATTAATTAAATGTGACATTAATTAAATGTCTCAATAATTAATTAAACATGTCAATAATTAATTAAACGGTCATAAATATTTATCTAATTAATTATTTCCAATTATAATTAATTATTGCCACATTTAATTTATTATTTAATAATGTATTTAACAATTCATTATGGGTGCAGTTCCCCCCTCCAGGGGCAAGGGTACCTAGACCCGGTTCGTAGAGTAAGCTTGGGGAGTGTGATCGTGTGTACAGCGTCTCTTTATGTCTGTCTCCACGTCGGTTGAGTGTG